CTAAATTTTTCAAAAAACAAAAAAAAATAATTGACCTGCGATAAAAAAAGGTTGCCGACCACTGGTCTAGGGTAATATGGCCCACTCATTAGACAACAGTATTCAAGATTACATATGATATTTAACATCACAACAACAAAAATTTTAAGATTTGACCTGAAAACAACAACAAAAATTAAATACTGAAGTTAATCCTTTGCATAATAATACATACATATTGCATTTATCTTAGTACAGATGTGAAAGGTAACTAGACTCTTACCCCCAATGCAGGTGTACATCCAAAGGAAGAATAACCCATTTGCCCCCCCCTGGAAACAAAAATATTGGGTGTACTAAGTATTCCTTCTATGCATCTCATGGACTAAATACTGGATAATCACTAAGACTAAAGATAATACAAGAGCTTGTAAAACTTTTAATCCTAAATTATGTAACACAAAAAATATATTCCTTCAAGTAAAAGTTATAAAACTACAGGGGTTTTAGTACTTTATATTAAAATGATTTTTAACATTCAAATCAACACATCACCTAAAACCTACAGCTGATACTAAGTCCCAGTGGAACAGAATGCATCAGAACAACATTTTGACATTTTTTGGATGAGCCTTTTGCAATTGAAACTATACCACAGAGTTTTTATCAAGATGAACTGGGGATGGAATGAGGGGGAGGGGGGACAGACCTCATTAGAGCTATACCCCTCTAACAGCCCCCACCTGGGATACAGTTTGTTAATATTTTTCAACTTCTCCATATTGTGACTCCTACTGACACGCAAGTGTTTTGTTTCCATGATAATGAGGACTATAACAACGTGGTGAGGCTAAAAATTTTTTTAATACGACTTATTCAACCTCTGTATAACAATTTCTTAAGAGTTATCGTCTCTGGACGAACAAACCAATGAATTATTTCTCTGATACTGAACTGCATAACAAAAAAAAAAGTTTACGTAATAGTTAGCCATTTTTTTTAAACACATATGTCACACTGATAGGCCGACACTGTGATTTACGTTTTGGAATTACTTTTTACTTTCACATAATTCTGGTAATATTATCAACAAGTATTAAACTTTCCTTTACACAAAGCACAAATAATTAATTTAACAAAATATGTCTATTTATCGGGAGCCAAAATTTATACATATATATAATAAAAATAATATCGAAACAACTTCGTCACTGTCAATACCTACTGGCCATGTATGTTGTGCGTTACACTTGAACATTTGTCATAAGGTCTAAATTTATACATTATAAGGCACACATGAGATTAAATGTGTTACATAAACAACTGCTATCAATATTACATCTGAGCAATTAGTGGAATTTGCTAATTGATTACTTGTCGGACTCATTAATCAATTGCATTTAATTATCATCGTGAAATAGCTAAAAACAACAACAGCAAACAACTCCATTACACTCACATTAAATGGCAAAAAGAAAAAAGTTACAATAGCCCATTGTGCAGCTTTGTGCTTTAAAAACAACGAAACATACTGGCGATATTTTGGATATTTGGGATAATCGGATTAATAATTGGAAATTGATCAATTAAGCTGAAAAAAACTTGAATTAATGAAAAATAATTAAAACTCATAATGGCAATATTTTGAACATTGAATGGTTGAAACATCAACAATAATAATAATAAAGGGAAACAATAATTATTATTAGTCGATTATTTTTGTTACATTAATTGAATTCATCATAATTTTGATTAATCAGTTATTTTACGTGACACTAATTAATAATTGCAGATAACTGATTAACTATTTTAACCACTCAGTTCTAGTCAATATAATTGATAATCAAAGGCTCTCAGACCAAGTATTTTTATATTAAATATTTGGTAAGCATTAAAAAAATTGAGTAGTTAATTAAAACATATTTCAAGCGTACACAAAGATCCATCTGTTTAAAAATATCACTTCGACTTGAATGTGGATCTCATTACACGTTCAAGAAGTCAGTTCTTCTGTCTGTAAATTACATTTGTACTTATGGTTCATCTTTAATAATGATACTAACAATTTTCGTATTTTAGTAAGTAGAAATCATCGATTGTCTTACGTTCAAATCTCTTCATTTAACTACGTTCGTGGTTACAACATGCACAAGTTAACTTGTAATGTCTGGAACTATCATCAATCAAGGCTTAGTATTTATAAACCTGAAATATTTACAATTTGGACTGAGAAATTTGAAACCTAGGTCACTTGTCAATACTATTATTTTGGTTGAAGACACAGGTGTAGGCCTACTGAAGTAATAAAAACCATTGCAAACTTACTTAATGATCCCCTTTCTCCGGTACTTGAAGCTTACCGATGCAACAAACACTAACAATCCAAAATGCTAAAAATGCAAGGAGTCATTTCAAAACATATCCTATTATGCCTCAAATAAACAATAACTTTTCAGCTTTGTACCCATGGTTTTAAATAAATCTAAGACTTGTCAAAGGTAAAAATATTAGCTTATTTACACAGTTTCTAGATTTAACCAATTTCTCTGTAGTTATAAAGTCAGAAGTGAAAATTACCCGAAACAGAATTTTTAGTTAAATTTGTGCTAAAATATTGT